TTCAGTAAATCCAATGCAATCCTAGATAATCAAATGCACACATAAATCTTACTCCACTGGCTTGTTTACACACAACCTTGCTGTGTGGAAACCGAAATCGAGGCAGCACAGGAACGGTTTTGTGTGCAATTTCAGCCACAACTAAAATGGCATGCTGTCAACCTATTTCATCTCACACGTGACTCTATGCCTAGGTCGTAGATTAGACAATTGAGGAGTACACAATATTGAAGTTTTCTGGTGATGTCCCCTGCTAGGTAGTTACGCCTCGCTTTCGATCTATGTCAGATCATACTATGACGTATTTTCGCAGTACCGACGAAGCTCCAACGATAGTCCCAACAGAAGATACAAACAACTGTGTAGTGTGTAACAGTGATCTTACCACAACCACCATGCTTTCGCTAACCCAAAATCTTCAGATATGTCAGTTCCTCGAGTAATCTTCGCTTGCGAATGGCGGCGGTCTTGGATCGCCTGTGCTGTTATCGTCCCGGTGCAGGGAGGTTGTACACTACCGGGTGCGTCCCCAGGTTGTGGAATACGTATTTCTGTATTTAACTGTACACAACTCTTATTTCTGAAAGGGATGAGATGAAGCAAGGGTTGCGAACATCAGTTACAGCAACAAGAATTCTAAGTTCGGCAAACAATTTGGCCGCCAACTGAACACCCTGAGCTATTAACACTTGCCTCTATGTTGATAGCTTGTTCCCCATCAAATACTACAAAAGTACGTATAATGCTGTGTCAAAGTCAGCGTAATCGTTTCTATGGCCAATGGCCACTCAATTCTGCAACCGGTGGTAGGCGGCGGAGCACTAGTGAATAATCACAATGACTGTTGGTATTTTATTTGGAATTATCATTCAAACGGTAGAGGCGTGTCAGCCACCTCACAATCAGCCTTCTCCGAGTGTAATGGCTAGCTCGGTGGTTATGAGAACTTCTTCGCGGCTATACCCAGTGGAAGGTTACGTCATTCGTACTTTAGTAACCCGTTCCATCAGTTCGCGATGTACAGTAATTCTGGCACTTCCGTACGTTACTCACAAACATCCTTCAAATTCTGGCACTGTTTTACAGATAAGATTTTAAAAAATAAAATTCCCAGTGGGCCCCCTTAGCTAAATCTCTCCCTTGATCTGAGCGATCAGGACACTGTATTCTCACACAACGAATGGAACAATACTTCAAAGATTCCTGCTCTCTCTATTTACTCCATGAGAACGTCATGTGAACCGAAGTGCCAGTGGACTGTCTTAAAAAGCTGTGCCCTACCTTGCGATTTGCTTAACTCGCTAATCCCGGCAGCCCCTCACCACCCGGGATCCGAACACCACGCCGTCTTGGGGAAAGTTCTCTTCATGTGCATTGGAATTTCAACTTCATTGGCGTGCCACACAATTGTGTTGGTAAGCCACTTTGTCTCCGCACTCACAACTCAAGCTACTTGCTTTCACGTCCGGACACCAGTGCGGCAGCTCACAGACAGTCCTTGGTCGAAATCTGTATACCCTCACCATCAATGTTATTGTCTCACTGAGGCCGGCGCGATACTACCTCTGATATTACTGCCTGCAAGTTCTGATGCTGTTAGGCAGTTATGTTTATCTGGAGACAAGGCTGCCGAATTCCCAGACCATGCTGCTGTCGCAGTCGCTCTGAGAGCACTTGCAGATGCAAAACTACTTCACCGGTTCTCTGTTACCCTTGGGTTCTACTATTTTCCACTGCAGACCTCAGCACGATCGTCCGGCTGCGTAGCCAGCAGTCGCTGTTTGTTCATCATAACAATGTATGTCCCAAGGATTGTACCTAAAACACAAGTAAAGATGAGTTCCACCGTCAACTTACTAACCTGCTTCGCAGAAACAACAATAAAATCGTTGTGATTGTCGGAAATCAAAACCACGCGGACTGGCAGATTTGGACCTCATGAAACTTAACTCGGTGGACAGTATAGCTAGTAAACTCTAGGAGAGAAGTAACGTTGATCACCCACTTAAATTGGTACTGATGAGCAACCTGGAGACCTCCAGACTTGAACACAGACAGACCAGGTCATCATCAGTCATAGTTGAAGGGGCATCAAGGAGAAATGCAATTCAATATAGAGATTCAAGATTACTTCTGCTCTATCGATGGGGCGCACCAATGGTAGACTTACATTTCGGTAGCGCCCAGTAATGTTGCCGAAAGTGACTTGACGTCGTTAACCTCCTTCTCCCAAATGTTCCTCTCGTCTTTCAATATGTGTTCTACTCAAAACTAAAGTGAATCCTATGCCCGGACACTGAGACTCACCGAGCACACACTCACAGAGCTGTGCACAGTTCTGCAGTCTTGGCATGTAACTCCGCATGATTTCTTCAGTCATTTGTAGCAGGTTAAGTCAAGGACGCGTTTTTATTCACACAGGACGGGCGAATTTTAAGCTGAATCATGCCAATGTTGAGTACAGTCCACCGCGCAGAATTACTGGTATCGAACTCAGCCCCACAGGAAAGAGGCGGAGTAAAAGCAAGACAGGGCAAAAGGCCGACCTAGGAATTTTTCATAAAATGTTCCTTCCAATCAGCTTTACTGGCAGCAAAAGCTAAGTGTGAACAACGATTTGTACGAAACCAATGGTGAGCCTGTCCGTAGTCATCTGCGTCGATTTGTGGGTTGGGTTATGCATCTCGAACAGCAGTTGGCAAGACTTGCAACACCGACGAGATCCACACCGCTCTCTGAGATATGGAAGTCTCACAGTCATCCGAAGCTGAGGATGCGTAGGAGCTCCATCTTCTGAGGCGATGCAACGAGCCTGGCATAGATGAATTCTTTCCTGTCCTTTTCTAAGATGTAGCTCTACTACTCACTTCCCTTTTCCAAGAGATTTGGAATACGAATGTTATCCCGTCCGATTACAACTTTAGGGAAACTGCGGCCGTCCTCGCAGAAACTAAATGAATAGGATGTGGGTTTAACCTCATGCGATGAGTTTCACTTGCATTGTATACAAAGGGCTAGTTGAGATATTTTTAAAGTGGCTCAACCGTGCAGGCAACAACACATACGTGAAGAGTAACTTGCGTTTCGATGGGGCCTGATCTAAGTTGATCCCATTTTTTGATGCACCAAACACACGGGCGTCATCAGACGTTCAGATGTTACTTTCTCAGCGACAAGCTCCGAATTTGACTCCACTGATGAATTGCCTTCTGGAATTAGCTGTTGAAAAGACAAGTACTCTAGAAGTAATTCAACGTTATTCAGGCTATTTATTCTACTACAATGAGTAGCGTGAGAGCGAGTGGCGCTCTTTCACTCCGCTTCAATGTCATCAGTGGCGTGAAACAATGTCATCCAGTCTCACCCATCCTATTCAATTGCACAATTGATAATATTCTGGAGAGCGCTGCAGACAACTGCGAACTCGATGGCGTTGATTTGTTTCCTGGGTACTGATCTCAAAGCATCCCGACAACATCACCGCAATTTGTGATTCCTGGCTAGCCGCTAAAAATATTGTGTGGGTTGGAGATGTCCATTTGAGCATTATGAACTACCTTCACTCCTTCGAAGGGCAGTCTTCCTGGAAAAGCGACGACGAGCCACTCTTACTCTCCTCTTCTTTGGGTATCCCTTGGAAGTGGTCGACAATTTCGTCACCTAGAGAATTACCTTGGCTTTTTGATTTGGTAGATGAGACCCCTTTGTACGTTTCTAAGGCACGGGCTGCTTTTGTCAATCTCCACCAGCTTTAGTGTTAACGTAACAGCAACTTCCCGCTGGAAGTTCGAGGCTTCAATCAGGATATGAGAACAATTCTGTACTATGGGTGCGGCGCTTGATAAGATCGCGCAACCGATGTTCAAAGATAGTCTGTTTTTGAGCATCTCTTCCTTCGGAGTATTGCTGGAGTGCGATGGTTTCACTACACCAATGTTGGCGGTCACCGACGGATTTGCGCACCAGTCAGACTATACCAACCTCCCTGTCGACCACTTCCATTACACAGGCCTCGGTCGTTTTGGTACGCGTGCCTGCCCAGTGATCGCGTCGTTTTTCCTGCTTCGCACTCACTAAAGTCAGTTTGGAGTGAAAGTCATTTGGCCAACGAATGATTTAGATCCAAGCTATGATCCTATATATATATATATATATATATATATATATATATATATATATATATATATATATATATATATATATATATATATATAAGATCCAAACTATATATGACATATGGTATATATATTTTTATATATATTGTAGTGCCACAGCATCAGGAATGAAGCTGGCAGCGTGACAGAATGTACGGATGGTGACAGTAAGTTGAAATGAAAAATCCGATTGCTGAAAAGTGGGTCATCAACATGTACACTATAGAGCCCCAGCTTTGGCCGTAAACAAGAGGCATTTCAATCAGACATTTTCGTGGTGTTTGCGGCCCCGAGCCCAGAAGTCGCGACAGCCTAACCACAGCCGATTTTGAGTCCAGTATCCTCATATTATGCATCTAAATCATTCGTTGGCCAAATGACTTTCACTCCAAACTGACTTTAATGAGCGCGAAGCAGGAAAAACGACGCTATCACTGGGCAGGCACGCGTACCAAAACGACCGAGGCCTGTGTAATGGAAGTGGTCGACAGTGAGGTTGGTATAGTCTGACTGGTGCGCAAATCCTTCGGTGATCGTCAACACTGGTGTAGTGAAAACATCACACTCCAGCAATACTCCGAAGGAAGAGGTGCTCAAAAACAGACTACCTTTGAACATCGGTGGGATATCTCGCAGATCTTCACAAACAAACTTAATCTGTGCATTTTTGAAATTGCAGATTTACCAACCACGTTTTATCATTTAACGGAACCGTGCGCTGCTTATCCGTTCCCATTTCCCAATCAGAAGGCCACATGAAAGTGAACTTCGATGGAAGGAAGAGCAACATAAGAAAAGGATGATTGTGGAGCCAGATATGTTCGGCCCGCATTCACGGGCCAGAGCATGGTGAGCCAAGGTGAGCAGTAAGTCTACAATGAGTGGCTATTCGCGTGCGCTCAACCATGTGTTAGCAAGCCTTCCCGTGAGCACAAGGATCACACGCCTACCTTGTAATCCGGATGTCGGGAATCCGAGCCTGCGTAGGGGACCGGGTAACCCTCGCAGTATCACTAGCTCAGGCACGACAGTTGGTGGTCGCGTGACAGCGAAGCGTTGGTACTGCGTATCGACGCACTACTGATGCCTACGTGTTATCGAAGTAGATGATTAAACCAAACTATTTCTTTCATGAAAAACTATTCTAGCACCACGCTGTCGAACACCCAAAGAAGAGGGCGTCGTCAGCCTATAAACTGTTAGAACTTGTACCGTGTACTGTGGCTTGGAAAAGTTCAGAACAGCAGCAGTTTGGTGAGTTTCAACAATTGGTGTAATATCGCCGTACTTAACTGAAGTTCACCCAACAACGGCTTAAGACCGCCACAGTCAGCTACACAGCAAGGATAACAGCGCTTACCGACATGAAACAACTAGTTATACGAGAGAGTTGAAATCTAATGCATGTGTTTAGGTGGAAGGCTAACACGTCACTGTGAAAGACTCACTCACACGACCCTTCGCCTTTTATTACCTCGCGCTGATGTACGGCAACGGCAAACATTCTAGAGCCATCTGTCTCCTTCGTCAAGTGCAGTGTGGTGGCTGGTGCGCTCAGATGTTCTCCGCCTCCATGTCAAGATACAGTTGACCGCCCGTTAGCCTCAGCCGGCAATCATCTGGTGAGCAGAGACTTGTCATCCGTTCGGTGTGATCAAGCCGATTAGCGAAACGTTTGCAGGCATCTTCCAAATAATCCTGAACCACTTGATTAACTGGATAAGGCAGTTACATGCTTCAGTGTTTGGTCATCACCGCTTTTCTGTTCCCCATACGCAATAAAGCAGTCATCAACTGTGCTACGGTGATGGAATGACGATAACCGTGTGGCAGTATCAGGATAAGTCGTTCACGATTAAAACCCGGTCATGGACGTGAAGTCTGCGGCGCCCGGGTGACTCGTGTCCAGCCCCTGTAGTCCGCACAAACCCGTACATAGCGGATTCGGCGTCAGGTAAGCTTCGTTCCATGGGCAAATCCCGTACCACTGTGAAACGAGATGGAATATGATTAGTATAGACGTGACTGTTAGTAGTATGCAGGGAAGAACGAAATCCTGTGCTGTTTACTAGTCACTGGCAGCTTTGAATGCTAAATCTACCTAGCAACTTTAGAACGGACAGCCGGAGGCGCCAATTTTGTTATATGTAGTCAACTTTCTGTAGACAAATGGGTCGTTGATAGTCCTTACGGTGGACGACAGCGTACTAGCAGGGTATTTTTGAAGCCGATTCACGGGAACTTCGTCGGCTATCCCCATACCTTACGAATAAGTATGCATACAGACACAGTAACACTTCTGTGTGCTGGTGAATAACTGATACGGATGGAATCATTGGAGGAGTTGGGTATATGCTGTAGAACTGCCACAAGTTTCTGACTTATTTAGGTTGTGATAAAACCAAATTATACCGTTCAGCTCCATTCTACTCTCCATCGGTAAGAAATGTAACTACATTTGCCGAACTGATCCACTCGAATTCAAAACGGTCTCGAAGCAGTCCTGTGACTACACCGGGACCCATCTATCGAGTCTGGTAATCTGAAACATGCAAACCGCCCATGCAGGCGTAGAAACCAGCAACATGCGTTAGGACAAGGACACTGAAATTTCCAGCCATAGTTAGGTACGCAGATCTTTCTCCTTACCAGAACTGAGCAACACATCGAAGGATATTGTGTATTATGCCTGACTCGTTTATCACTCCTATCAACTTCTCTATAAAATTGTTTTATTGACCGAAATCGTTCTAGCTGACGGAACACATGGCAGCTACAAAACTAGCTCACTTGGAGTGACCTAGTCTAACTGCAAGGCTCTCCCTAGTATTTGTTAGGCATCAGCGTGACAGTTTGTGTCGAGACTATCGCAGTTGATTTGAGAGCATCAGGGTAACACGCTTGAACTCAACGACCACTCGATGACTTCACTCACAAAGACGGAGAAGGGCACCAAGTGACTTACGTAGTTCGAAGGCAGGTTGACGAATGCATCCTCTTTAACAGCAGTTCTCAAAATTTTTGGCCGTGGACCATTTTTATTGGAAACTGGCACGGAGGACATCCTGAGATAATGTTAACCACAGGACTAAGCTTTAATAAAATGAGGACGAGGCAGAGTGTCCTGAAAATGTCTACTACTGTACACTGCATTAACACGGGTGTTCATCTAAGTTAGTAAAAATAAAAGCTGTTGAATGTAGAATGTAGAAAAACATTGTACATCAACCCTTAACGTGTGGATTGAAATTGTTTCTGATATGCAGCGGTGACTTCTTTGATGTATGGTATTATTGGGGAAACTTGAAACTTCATATCAGGTTGACCTTCAATTCTATTGTAACACTTTGCATGTAATGCGGAAATGCACTTTCCCACATAAGTTGTACTAAATGGGCGAAGCACGGTGACAGCTGTCTTCGCTACGACAGGGAACTTTTCCTTTGTTTGTTATCAGAAATCAAACAGCGACAGTTTTTAAAACTATTCCTGAAGAGAGGAATTTGATATCATGTCGACGAATTTCTCATACTGAATAGACGTGAAAGAAGGGGGATTTCTCGTGTAACTAAATGAGTACTTGACCCATGAACCTTCTTTTACTCTTTCCTACCTTCGTTGGGAAAATACTGAGACACGGTTTAGGCCAGATCTTTCAAATGTTGCATAATTTCGTCACAAATAACCTATGGAAGTTCTGTGCCCACGTTCATCTCTTCTAACATGTCCTTTAATACCGGAAAGCTGTCAATATCTCAAATGCGAATAGAAATCACTCAGAATGCTACCTTCGTTTGAAATGAATTGTCTCACTGCGTTGAATTTGGTTGTAGATTTTCCTTACAGTGTTAGACTTACGTCATATATTTTTGCGAAGATTTCTGACATATAGGCAGTCATCCGAACTGTAAAATATTGGTGATCCATGAACGAAGCGAGGACTTCTGTGCGTAATTCCAACAAAGGTAGTACTAGTTTGCCACTGGAGAGCCATCTTCAGTGTGGATCTGTAGAGGTATGAACACTGGTCATATCATCACACAGAATCTTGAACAGTCGATTGTTCAGAGGCCGGAATTTAATGAACTTAATTAGTTTCCATGCCTCATCGAGGACAGTTTTGAGATTGCTTGGTATTTTTCTTTTGGCATGTGCCTGTCAATGAAGAACAGATTAGTTGCTGCTGCTGCTGCTGCTGCTGCAGCTTTTGCAACAGGTTTGATACTTGTCACAACATTGACAAACTTTCTTGTCAATGATTTGCCATCATCAGTGCAAATATTGATGCAATCCTAGCATTGCATGGTATTTTCTTGTATACAGTTAACCGCGATTATGAACATCCCAGCGCCACTAGTGTTCTTCGGTAGAGGTTTACACAACATCACACCTTACTGCATGGATAGTAGGTGTTGGTATCTTACAATCACAGCCAGCACGGCAACTCTTGCCATATCCGTCGACTTATCCATTTAACGAGTGAAGTTACTGTACCTATGCGTCAGGTTCACACTTCCTTAACAGCAGTTACTACTGTTTTAATTCTTCGAGATGTCGTATCAGTTAATAGTGCTATCACAGACAGTTATTTTGCTGATTGTTCATTCAGCATGAATCTAGTCACTTCGACTTCACATGGCTTGATAAGTCTTTCGGTTATTGTGTGAGGTCCTTCTGTCAAAGCAATACAATAACAAACTATGAAAGATGCTTCAGCAGCCTTTTCATTTACAGTCTGAGATGCGCTAAGCATGTGCTTTGGGGTGTTCAACAGTTCACTTCGCCTGTGCTCAAGGCACTCCTTTTTGCCATCTTTGCAGTCCGCGTGCATTTTTCTCAAAGTGTCGCCGCATTTTTACAAGCACCGTGAATGATTAGGAAGAAATTTGTTACATCTGATACACTGCGGACAATCGCTGGACTCCATAAATTCAAAAGAAAGACAATGTCATTGTATTTACGTCTCTTATCTGCGGGTACAGAGACTGCCGTTGGCATAGAGTTATGCCGCATCGCATCACGCAGTATAGGTACATCGAACGTCTCGGTCTCTGCATTCTCAAAAAGCACATTAGATAGCCCAAATATTACTACATCTGAATTCGATGACGAATACTACTGCGACACAATTATCAGTGTTCCTGTCTTCAACCAACGGTCCATGTTTACGTTATACGTGCAAATGCTGAAATAAAAATAAGTAATTAGACACAAGTATACGGAACACACCCCGAATTCTATTAGTTTGGTATATTGAACTATGAATGAACTGTAAAATATGGTAAACAGAACAGCCACCTATTTCTCAAAAATAGTTTCTTTTAATTCGCAAAGTCAAAGGAGCTCATTATTCAAACACCGAAATATTCACGCTTTCCTTCCGAGCTTCACTGGGTGGGATCACCCCAGTGGGCCTCTCTTTACGATCCGCCGATTTCGGAGGATAGCAACTTTCGGAATGACCGCAAAAAGGCGCCATTTAGCATGGTTTACTTTTTGTCACCATGCGGGAGACAAAGTCTGGGTTATATGATCTATCAGGTACAGAGATAACCCATCCAGCCTGTACTCATTGCACCGCAGGGAGATTACCACACTACCATTCTGATATTCGACAGCTTCGTTCAATTTCATTTACGTCTGCAAAACTCAGATTCCTTCCTGGACTAAGTTTGTTTTATTTGGGCCATTTACAAGACTAATGTAAACCGCCAGAGATGATCCAACGAATATTTACAACAAGTTTGTCATCGAACTATAATATCCAATGATCCCACACAAAATTTTTTTCTATCGGGACCACAACATTTCGGCAACTTTCTTATACATCCTGAGAAACACTGATCCAG